CATTGTGTCCGGAAGGTGATAAAACAATACATTTTCGGTTGTTCGTCACTCATACGGTGATATTTGAAAGCGTTGCTTTACTCAGTAAAGTAACGCATCAGTAAAGAAAATGTGCCACCCCTAGTCTGGTTCGCATTTACGCATTAGAACTTTTACACATCTACGGGCACACTTTTTGTTACAGTATAGAGCTAAAGTGCATCTCTCCCACCAAAATCTGCAAAAAGCGTAGTATCGATTTTTCGATACATGTATCTGTCGATGCTGACTGTATTAAGTTCATCTTGTCGATATCTGGATATCTGTTGGATGGCATATATTACTTAGACCTTGCGTTTTACCTTTGAGCAGTTTGAGGATACACCAAAGGGGAAAATGAAGATTTATGACTTTTATGGATTTTAATGGACTTACGTCAACCTATACGAACTTAGTCTAACGTTTAAGATCTATCAAAGTACAACGTCCAATGGATTTTTAAAGGTTATTGGACTATTAAAGTCTTTGACGGCTATAAAAGTCCATCTGAATCAACATAAGTCTTGAAAAGTCTTCGTAACTCTACATAGATCGATAAAACTTTCTGTAAATCACTGAACTTTTAGCGACTTAAGTGAATTTTGACGGACTTTGAAAGTCCATAATTGGACTTAAGTCTGCTTTCCCTCTTCGGCATATTCCAGCTTTCTTTACAAAAAAAGCATTTTTCACGAGAAAAAGTAGTCGCGGTGGTGAAAAGTGATGGTATTGTAGCTACGAGAAGATCATTAATTCAATCGAAGCAAAAGAACAAAATCTGAGCCATACCGTGGATAATTATTGTAATAAAATATATGTTCGATAATCTGAAATATGCCAATCAAAGAGTGAATGCATTTCAAGAACAAATTTGACGTTGTAGGTAATCTCTAATCATTTAATTACCATTTTTTTGAATAACAGTACACTTCGTCATTTCATTTTTCTGTACTTTTTGAGTTGTTATTTAAATAAAGTCTCTAGTAGGTTAATTTGTTGAACACGTTACGCAAACACTAGCCTTTTATGTTTCTTCCAATTTTGAATCCATAAATTATTGTTAATGCAAAAGAAGAACAACATGTATAGAGGATGAATATCCAGTAAACTACAGCAGTAACATCAGCAGTAAGGAGAATATTACATACATCAACCCTGTGAAGCGACAGTTGATCCTTCGCTTCATCACCGGTAGTTGTTTATATAAAGACAGATCGTCACAGTTTGAAAAATGTCAATATCATCAGCAGTGAATGATGCACAAAATATTTATACGCCTCAAGTAACTAGAATCAAAAGAGAGCTGTCACGCGAACGAGTATGTATTACACTTTGTTGTATGTCAAGAAAACGGCATACAGACATAAACAGACCATATTGTAGTGATATTTATTAGAGCACAATCAAACACAATGGCGACGATACAGCTAAAACGATTAGTAAATTACCAGAATGTGTTACAGTATCACGAATAAAGTCAACCAAAACGGTATAAATCCATGTTTGTTCAAACACAAATGTATATATGCTTCGGGACATACACTCAATTTTAAACTTGCTTGTATGTAGGATCATACAATGGTTGTTAATGAGATTCAGAAGAAACAACAGTACAAGCCTCAGGTCATAAAAGTATCGAAACAGCAGTCAGATAATAATCAAGTATCTAGAAGTGTCTTGTATTTGACATTATAAGACATTAAATTTCTTTTTGAAGAGCATACAACTAGTTAATCCAAGCACAAGTGACCATGAAGATTCAACTGTAGTAAGCAAAAACAGCCAACTGAATGTACTGGGAAAACAGGTAAAGGACATGATCAAACGAAATAGTAATATATCAATATATACTTCTCACAACTAGAATTTAATAGTGTCATCAACAACCGCAAACGATATTGTTGGTGATGATATTCAAGGATTAACACTAGTTTTTAAAGCCAAGACACCACTACAACTGCTGAGAACGTCGAGAGAACAGGTATGAGTGCTATTATAACTAGTGGTTTGCAGAGCATAAAACTTAGCATTAGTAGGGATCATCGACTATGTCACTAGCTTTACAAAGTTGAAAACAGACTTGTAGTAAAAGGTAGTAAACTCAGTGCTGAAAATACATCACAAGTACGTACAATTCAGCTTAATAATAGATTAAAAAGCACTTTTCGTCTTTTCATAGCACTCATTGTCAACATCAATCGAGTTGTTCGAAAGCAAGCGAATGGATAATTCTTATAGCTCGCGGCCAGAAATAAAACAGTATAATAAACTGAATGTAAGCACAGAGTAATTGGGACTGAGTTTTTGGATATAATATCGATCAACTACTAACCAACTATGTCTTAGCTAAGTAGTCGTGCGTATCTTTTGAATATCTCGGGAATGAAAGGCGATAGAGAGGTGCGTTTTGCACCATCTTGTAGAAGACGTGTTACTGCATCTTTGTACATACGAGAGAAGTTGCAAACCGGATTTTCAGGTGGTACACCTGGCGGTGAAAAAAGGAGGTCTCCAGTATCGAAGGCAAAATAAAATGTTAACTTGAATTGCACGGTTAGGTGGCCCAACGTATTCTCTACAAAACTATGCAAGTTCGAGATCGCTAGCTGCCAGAGTTCGGGCGCAGTGGTAGTTTTCTGAGGTCTAGCTATCTCAGTTCGGTTAGGTCTGATAAGGTTAAAAATAACTCCAACTATAGGTTATCGACCCTCGTGGCAATGTTTGTTTTAGAAGGAAATGCTTGCATTTGGTAAAAACCTATACCAGATGAAATAACATACTCTTGGCTATTGTCATTGAAAATTAAAAGACTCGTAAGTCAGTCAGAATCGATCAAAACTACTATCCATCCCACAATATAATGCAATCGGTTGTTTTTTTGAATAACTGAAAAACAATACAGGCAGGGACATAGTGTTTCCAGGAAAGCAAAGACGACAGTTTAAGCTATATTGTCGCAAGTAAACTCATTTTTCGAAAACATTTCGAAGATCAACTTCCTACAGAATGGAAAATCAGCTCGGATTTCTAGAAATCGACATAGTAATCTATCGTTCTTTTTTCCTAGATACACAGTCCGAAGTGTCCTGTACAAAATAAGATCTAAGCGAAAGTTTGGTTCGGGTGCGATAACCTCTGTCTTCATGCGTTTCTGACAGTCTAAACTTAACGAGAGAGATGTTCAAAGGCTTCGGGAAAAGAAAGGGCACCCGAATCAAACTTTCGCTTAGATCTTATTCTGTAGAGGACACTTCGGACTATGTATCTAGGAAAAAAGAACGATAGATTACTATGTCGGTTTCTAGAAATCTGAGCTGACTTTCCATTCTATGGAAAGTTGATCTTCGAAATGTTTTCGAAAGATGAGTTTACTTGCGACAATATAGCTTAAACTGTCGTCGTTGCTTTCCTGGAAACACTATGTCTCTGCCCTGAATTGTTTTTCAGTTATTCAAAAAAACAACCAATTGCATTATATTGTGGGATAGATAGTAGTCCAGAATTTCAACATATACTCCATTTTATCTGCTGAACGTGATCACGTCTTTCAATCGCCTTTCGTTCTCAAGATATTCAAAAAATATCCATGGACACTCAGTTGTGAAATGGATGCTGACATATTCGGGTACATATTATTGACTACGACTACAAGCATTATCATAATAAAGTGTCGATAATGGATTTTTTCTCTTTTTAATAACAGGTTTTGAGAAACTGGGACTCTCATAGCCCCGAAAATATTCCGTACGACTCATCGGTCAGTACTGATCGGCTTTATTGACTATTATCAATATACTCATCGTTTTTTATGTATAGATAATGTCACTGAATCAATCAATAAGAAGTGCTTGGCCAGAATCAGCAGTACCAAGTGATCAGCGACTCTTGCATCAAGCAAACGAAAAGAAACGAAAAAAAAGTCGCAGAAAACGGTATATAATACAAGACGATAGTTAAGGACTTTTCTTGATTTATCACAACATATCTACTTTTAGAGGTGGATACTATTCACCATGTTGTTGTATATGCATTGGGTTAGGAATTATATTACTTTTATCCGCTATTGCTGCCATTATATCATTTTTGCTTTCGCATACAAAAGAAATAGCAACAAGTAAGCAATAAATAAGACACGAGATTCAATTATCAGAAACAGAATACTTGAGAAGTGGTCGATGAGAAACGATTTTTAGATAAGAGTAAAGATGAGACTGAGTAATACTCACTTTTCCTAAATGTACAATACCTTTTTTTCAAATTATTTTATTAAACATGTAAGAATGACGGTTGCATTATTTCTGCACTCTATGTTTATTTGCGTTTTTTTGAGAAAACCTATCTTGTTTGAACAAAGCATTTTTCTCAAAGCGCTGGTGCATACGCTGTGGAACCGCTAGACTGAGTAAGGCTCAAGCCTTATCCGAATTTCCACAATTAGGCTGAGTCTTACCCCATTTCACTATTGGATACGTATACTTACGCATTTTGTGTTTATGTTGGACCACAATGCACAGTGGTCATGCAGGCGGACTTTTGGTCAAAACTCGAAGGTGAACTTTCCTGTGATTTGAATAGTGTCAAGTATAGTCCACTCAACGCTCTATCGAATGATGTAAAAACTTTGTTTCTACGACTTTTCCTTACGGAGTTATTCGGTAAAGGAAATAAGGAAACATGAGAAATATGCTGAAAACTGGGTGTATTCAGTAAAATCACAAAGCTAAATAGCGCTAAGGTCCAATCTCATTCATTTTCACGTCAAAATGTTCGCCTTGTTGTCCAGCGTTGTTTTTGCTCTTGTGTCAATGATTTTTTGGAGGGCTTTTATATACTATTTCTCTTCCTAGCAACGGCAACAAGTACTAGTACAACTCTTTTTACAACGACTGCCGAAACAACAACAAGTACTAGTGTAATACTGTCTACAACAGTTACTAGTACAACACTTTCTACAATGACTACTAGTACAGCAACGACTACTGGTACAACACTTTCTACAACGACTACTAGTACAACAACAAGTACTAGTACAACATTTTCTACAACTACTACTAGTACAACAACGACTACTAGTACAACAACAAGTACTAGTACAACAACGACTACCAAAACAACAACAAGTAGTTATTATTAAGAAATAAGGCTTTTGTTCAGAAGACGTTTTACAAGTCACATTTGAGCAATTCATTCGCCTTACCTCTTATTCTGTAGGCGAATCATAAAAAAAATTAACTTTTTCGTTCAGACAGGTATTTAACTATAATATAGACCGCCATCTGAAAAAGAAAACAGTGCCATCCGTTGCTTTTTGAATAACTTTTGATAGAAAAGAGCTCCAATTTCCACCATTCGAAAGAGGAGACTTGGAGAAATATTTTCATACCCAAAACAATTTCCATAAGAGCTTTCTGAAACAGTCTTCCAGGAGATCTTTGGAAAACTAGACCGTGTGTGAACATTTCGCAAAAGAATTGTATTTGTTTTTTTCACAGACGGTGTCCTCTTCAAAATGGGAGTCAAATGAGACCTTGTTTTTTAACGGTTCGAGCGTTGTATTGGATTTCCCACTAGTTACAAGACTGGTAGTCGGTGGCTATTGGTAGCTTCGAAGACGGATGGAATATGGATAACTGATCATGCTGAGTCTAGTGACAATATTCTTTTACAGAAATCTTTTTAAAAATCGTACGGAAAGCAAGTTTTACGAATATTACGATCTTGAGGCTGTTTTTCACCTAATATAAACAACCTGAAAATTCTAATTTCGTAAAACTCGGTTTCCGTACGATTTTTAAAAAGATTTCTGTAAAAGAATATTGTCACTAGACTCAGCATGGTCGATTATCCATATTCCATCCGTCTTCCAGACTACCAATAGTCACCGGGTGACAGTCCTGTTACTCCTAGAAAATCCAATGCAACATCCGAACCGCGAAAAATTAATACCTCATTCGACTCCTGTTTTGAAGAGGACACCGCGGACTATCAGTCCATGAAACAAAATTAATACAATCCTATTGGGAAATGTTCACACACGGTCTAGATTTTTGCAAAGCTCTCTTGGAAACTTCTTTCAGAAAACGGTTCTGAAAAAAGTTTGGCTATGAAAACATATCTCGAAGCTGGAGGAGTAGCAATTGTGCGGCCAAGGCGTTCAAAAACGAAATGCACTTTGCACCGCGCAGACTGTTGGTGTGGAATTTTTCTACCATACAAATGTTACACTCCACTTCGTTTAATTCGTTCAGTTCGTAAATGTACACTGTTAAGGGTATTTTACGAATTTGGTAAATGCACATTGCTAGATCCAAGCTTTATACTACTCACTAATTTTCATGTTCGAAGGATTCGCAAATGCGAAGGGTATGATAGAATTAGACAATTCGTAAATGCAACTTGCTAAGCGTAAACTAATCGCAGGAATTTCAAAATTATGTTGCTGAAAATTCTCAGTGTTTTACGAATACGAAAATACAACTGGTGGAGGAGTCAGCTAATTCACAAATGCACTTTGCTGTGGACGCGTGAATTTACAGAAAGCGTGTTGACCAGATTATTATATCAGATTAGAGCCATGCTAACTATCAAAATTCAAAAACTTTGTATCCCTAAAAATCTGCAAATTGCTTGCTCTTTGCACTTCGCAAACAATTCGTATGCAAAATCTGAGAATTCGCAACTTCGTTGCTGTTAAAGTAGGTCAAAAGGGAAAAAATTTTTCCTCTTGGTCAAAACAATCTGCAGATTGCGCGCACTTTGCACATTGCATTTAATTCGTATGTACAAACTGCGAATTCGTTTTTATCTCCAGTAGCGAAGCTGATTTCGTTTTCCGCTATTTATCATTCGTACTCGTCTACGAATTGGCACAAATTAATACGAATTAATTGCAATGTGCAATGTGTGCAAGCAATTTGTAGATTTTCAAAGCCGTAGGGAAACCTTTTCTGAGTTTAGATACTTACCACAGCTATTCTTCTCCGAATTCTCACAATTTCTCTACGAATTAATTCCGATGTGCAGATTTGAACACTTGGATGGAAAAATATTTTGATTTTGATTTACGTTTAGATCTAGGGGCTTGCGAAATTCGTTTTCGACAGTCACGGATTGGAAAATGTACAGTATCACATAGCTTCGAATTGACAATTAAATTTTTGTTTAGTTGTTGAAGAATTTGCATAGTTTGAAATTCGAAAATGCAAACTGCTGAAACATAAAAAAACGTTCAACAGTTTCCGAATGCAATTCGCTTCTCGATACACTTCGCAGATTTTGTATGTTTACACAGTGCTCGAAGCATAGGCGGCAGAGCCTGTAGGCTCGTTAGGCTTGAGCCTTACCTGAATTGGACACTATTAGGCTCAGCCTTACCTGAATTGAAATTTGTCCGCTGTCGAATTTGACTCTGTTCGGTCGAGCGAACTTTATTTTAGTATCGTTACTAACGACCTTATACTGAGCCTTACCTGATTTGAAAACGTTCCGCCGCCCCTGGCTCGAAGTACCGGTTAATTGCACCGAAGTACAATTCGCACGGGAAAGCGCCATCTGCGAATTCGTGTTTGAACGCCTTGGCCGCACCACTCAGGAGTAGTAATGATAATAGAGTATATAAAGTGTAGAACCGCTATAAAATACATTAGAATTTTATATGAAATTCAATGTTGAGAAAGACAAGCTTTCAAATAGAACTACGTTCATTTTCAAGTCAGAATGACTAAATAAAAAGAATCGAAGAATATAAATACAGAAATAAGAGAGAATTAGTATATACTGTATATTAAAGAATGCATTCTTGTCCTTTCTTTCTTTTTAAACTCATAAACTGTGTCATTGTTCATTCATGAAAGCTAGATGTGTGTTTTTCGTCATTTTGTGAAAAAGCAACCGATGGTACTATATTTTTTAGAATAGATCTCCGATAAATTTGGATGTATCGATGTGTTTTATTAGAATTCAGTTAATCACTAGTTGGTAAAAAATTGTTATATATCCAAAGTTATCGGTGATTATGGTCAAAATCGTAATTGTTTATTACAATGCAAATCACAATTCATCGTCTAGAACCAGAGATGAGCAAGTCATTTTCTCAAGTCATTTGAAAAATCGCCTGTAATTTTTCTCAGCTAAAGAACGTGACTCTGATTTAAACGTGGTTAAGTTCAGAAATGTTCACGCTACACAATGGCATATTTCACTGAAAGTTTTCCGCGTTAGACACACCGGGGTTCTTTCCTGAAAACAATGACTTGACTTTCAGGTCGTTGCTCTTAAGCAAGCAACAGGAGGCTTCTAAACGCAGAAAAAGTCCGGTTGATTATACCATTTTGTAGCCTGAACATTTCTGAACTTAACTACATTTAGTATTCAAATTCTTTAGTCGAGAAAAATTACAAAAGATTTTCCAAATGACTTGAGAAAATAACTTGCCCATCTCTGTCTAGAACCAAGTGATTTTGAGGATATTAGCAGTAGTAAATGGAATCCGTATAATTATGTGTTTATGCACTTTTCCAAACCATGAATCATAATGAGATAGGATTTTCGCCATCACACAAGCCTATATACTGAATTTCCGAAAATTAGGCTTTTCTTTTCGATTCTACTGAACCATAAATCAGGTGAGATTCGTATTGTTTGATATTTGACGTAAAAAAGAATGTGTAACTGTGCTGAGAGCAATTCCGCTGCACATCTCAAAAGTAGTTCTGAGCTAGAGTCTCAAAAAATTGTTATACATCAGAAGGTGAATACTTGATATAATATGACATATGGTTGCAGGGAAAACTGAGACAGAAAAAATTTTTTCGTTAGCCGAATTACATTTTTGCCGATCAGAATATTCGTTAGAATGTTTCATGAAATAGCTTGCTACTTTTTATGTTGAAACTGCATATATTAATTTCAATATTTTCTTATTTTATTGTTTCCTTCTATTGAAGGCGTAGCAAGCACAACGGCAATGGGAACTTGTTTTCCTTTATGGAACAGTAATTCTGTGTATAATGCAAATGAAAATGTTAGTGAAAATAGCATAAATTATATGGCCGCTTATTATTCACATGGTGCTGATCCAGCAACAAATAATGGTCCAGTGTCAAGTGGTCAAGAATGGATCCCATTGGGTTCATGTTTATGGTTAAATACAACAGTCAGTGCTACGGTAGCATGTTATGCAACGTATAGTTCTTCAACTGCGTACTCAACCGGCAGTCTAATCAGTTATCTAAATATAAACTATGAAGCGTGTTATTATTCATTAAATCGTGATCCAAGTGTTTACAACGGTATCACGTGTAGCGGGCAAAACTGGAAAACACTAACAGCTTGTTATTAATTATTTTATAATGTTTTGCTTTTACGCACTAGCATAGCCACTAGGATGCCGAGATATTATGTCTCATTATTTGCTCTAAAAATTCTACCGAAAAGCGAGTTTTACGAAAATTAGAATTTTCAAGTTGTTCATACCGGGTGAAAACAGTCTAAAAATAGGCTTCCGCCACGTGCAAGAATTATCATTCCAGGTAAATGAAAGAGAGCGCGGGTTCTTTTTGTTTTGCAGTAAACATCTATGGCTAGGAGTTGACAGAGCCCGATATTGAATTTCGCATTTTTTTAATTTCTGGTGCTTAATAGAACTTTATACACTCGTTATAGAGAAAAGTCAAGATCTGACCGTTTTTCGTTCACTCTAGTTTTTCGAAACTATTTCATTCGAGTTCAGCATCAAAAAGTGAATATATCCATGTAGGTTTGTGACTAGTTCATCGTTCTGATGTCTTCGAGCAGGACGGACTAAGGTCTGACACCCTGTTCTCCCAAACCTATGTAGTCTTTTGCTCCAACAGTTATCCCGAACTATCATACAGTATTCGAATCACCATTCAACATTGAATAAAAATGCGTATGGATTTAAGAAACTTTCCCGGTGAGAAACGTCATCATTCGTGTAGCAAAGTCGGAATTCTGCCCGTAGTTCTCAATTTTCTCCAGCAAAACTCAACTTCTATGTAATAAAAATATCATATTGAAATCAGGATCAAAAGACGAATCTACTGATGTGTATCCCAACTCATTCGAATAATTTGATTTTTTCGAATTTTCATGTTGAAATATCATCGAGATTTTCACCAAAAAATGAAAATCAACTAAAAGCTTCGAAATACACATACTGATGTGTATTTACACCTGTTATATATACTATCTAATCTGCTCTTTTTAATGAACTAATTGGTTTTTCTTTAGTTCTCCACTATAGTCCCCTAGATTAGAGGTACCAGTTAACTGGACAAGCCACACATCAGTATGCGTATTTTGAAGCTTGTAGTTGATTTTCATTTTTTTTGGTAAAAATCTCGATCATGTTTCAAAAAACTAGAGTGAACGGAAAACCGTCAAATCTTGACTTTTCTCTATAACGCTCACTTTTCACTTTTTTCCGACTCTTGTGGTATTTTGAAGATTTCTTCCCCAAACGTGATTACAACTCGATAAAAGGCGATATTCGAAATCAGCTCGACGAGCTCTATCCAACCATGTATGTTTGAAGGAATTTTTAATCCACTTTTGCTTACCGTTCGAATTTGGAGCAGCTTTCGAGATCAACAATTGGATTTAGAAAAAATAACTTTAATAAAAGGTACTTCTCAATCATTTGTTGTTATTTGCTTTATTCCTTTTTTTCACTATTTTCCGTCATCACGAATATGTAACTTCCAGTCTTCTCAGTGAAAAATTCAAAAAACTCGAAGAGTCCGTTTTTTCGGCAAATCGGTACTTTTCAAAAAACACTGAATATCTCACTACCATGTGGTTCTGGAATCTTGAAAAGATGTTTCTCGGAATAAGCGTCCAAAGCTGCATACAGAAAGCTACACTTCAAAGTTTCAGATCCAAGAGAAGTGTAGGCCTTTGATTTGATACTCTCAACTTGCAAACTATGCGCAGATTTTTAGTTGACAGATGAAGCCAAGTTTTATATGCCATTCGATTCGTCTTGAAGCGTAGAAAAGAATGATGTATCGCTTTTTTTGATTATTTGTTTTCATTCTTGAGATATTGAATTTCTACCAAAAGTTAGTGCGTTGCGCCTAAAATCGGGCAGGTGATTTTCCACTAACTTTTTCATTTTCCGTCCAAAACTCTTTGAACTAACAGACTATAGAGAAGAGTGTGGAACCTAACGGAAAGAGTTTCAGGATTTCTGGAGGGTTTCTGGAAGGGTCTCTGAACAACCTTAGGAGTCAATCAACGGACTGTTCCGTATCTCACGTCCAAAGTGGACCGTTTATTAACGCCATCTTGTGGATCAGACGAAAAGCCCGCTCGAAGTGTTCTGATTGGTAGACACTGCAACCGTCCATAAATATGCCACTAGCTAAGAGAAAAGCGCACAGTTGTATTATTTTAAGTAAGAGATGGTCAGCAGGAAATGTTTTCGGCAAACCATCACAACAGCAAGCATCGCCAAGTGAAGATGAGAAATTTATGCCAATGTTAATTGATGCTTGACTGACCCAGAGGCTCAAAAGGTGTTGTAGAAATAGAAATCATGACTGAATTTCAAAAAACAGAATTTTTTTTCCAACTTCGGAACCGTTGACCAGTTCTCTAAAGTGAGGCATTATTTCTTGATATGCTTCGCATAAAACTGTTTACCGATATCAAGGCTTTCAGAGCATGTATTTGATTTTGATATAAAGTGCTTAGTTTGAATAAACTGCGCAAAGTATCGATCATGATGAAATTTCAGGCTTCCAAAGTAGGTTTTTTTATCGCCGAAATTTTGACTTTTGAACAAACCCACCCAACTTTGTGTGGTTTTCTACTGTACAAACAACTACAGTTTATTTCATCCTAATTGTATTTCTATTTATCATGTGCAAAAAAAAGTCACAATTTCTGATAGTAAAAATATGAATCGAGCATAGCTAAGCTAAACAGAACTACAAGATAAACGTCTTTTTTGTCAAAGAAGAAAGAAAGAACGCTTAAAGTGCAGAATAATGAAATTCCGCCACGCTCTATTTCGCATTTTATCCCATCGAAAATTGATCAATATTAAAAAGAATAGTGCTCATTCAGTCACAGAAATCTACTCGGCTGCTTATTTCTTATTTTGCTTATTATTCTACTGCGCAGTTTGAGCGCAGGAAACAAAGGTCACGAATTTCATGAAGAAAGTAGGTGTTTCGTACGTAAAAGTTCCGCTCCCATGTACACTTCTAGAATTTCGGAGCGTAATTATATGGAAGAGTAAACCTTTTCTGTCAGACACTATCAGACTTAACCGTGTTAACTTCTGCTTTGAAAGCGAAATGACCGAAACAGTAGAACAGACTAAATAACATTAACTGCGCTTAGATTGCAGAGATGTCTTTGACCGATCAAAATGCACTTCAACCGCCTATTCAGGTCAACGTAATACCTGTTATGTATACTGTCTGATCCGCTCTTTTTAATGAAATAATTGGTTTTCTTTAGTTCTTCACTATAGGTCTCTACGTTAGAGGTGGCAGTTAGTTGGACAAGCTGACATAATAAACTAAACAAGAAACATATTACAACAATTCATTAAAACCTGCTTCACTATAAAACAAAAGAGATAAAAAGATAACTGTACAAATCAACTTGTGACAAGTAGAGTGTAATTACCCAAGCAAAAAAATTTTTTTTGGAGCTAGCTTAAGCTAGCTAAAAGGAACATTTACCTAGCTTGAGCTAGCTTATTGTTCCCTTTTAGCTAGCCTAAAAAATTTTTTTTGCTTGGGTAAAACCTGACTGGGCAATATATCCGATATCGGCAGTCATCTATCTCATTCCAATTACTTATCGTGTACGGCACAAGTTTCGAAATGAATCTTTTGACAAAATACTGTCGACAATCGGCTGAAAAACCAGTTTTTGAGAAATTTTCAGTGAGTAATGTGGAGCTGTATCTTTGTGAAATATATCGCTATATAGAGCTCGTCGACATCTGTTTAACACACTAAAATTTGAAGATGGCACAGCTCGTTGTACGTATGTTTTATGAAATTACAAAAGAACCCCGTTGGTTAAGATCTGGCATCTGCCTTCCTTACAATGTCACAGTTTGATAGCGTGAAATTGTAGGTCTCATCCTCCCACATAATTTCTATTTTTGACGTTTCCTCTAGAAGTTCCTCTTCACTAAAATGTAGCTTGATCCTTCTGATACCTCTTATGTGGATGTATGAATGCCTCATACTATATAATCTTGAAAAGCAAAGGTCAAATCGAAGTTTCGTTTTCAGAAATGCAAGCATCATCAACTGCCTAATCCTGTGTGATTTTGCTTAGATAAAGTCTCGTAGGTTCTGTAAATTTTCAGATCAAGGTGCACTAGCACCGTCATTTGCTTGAAACTATTTTTAGCTTCAAATTTTTTGTCTATATGCTCACCTGGTTCAGAATACTCTTAAAGTGGCCATATTATACAAGATGTAAAAAATTAGAAAAAACGTTTTTTTTCCTACTATATCACTTCTACCGCATAAATAATTACATTTTAAGTTTTAGAAAATGAAATTTTAGATGAAATAAGCTTACTATTGTCCATTCAAAAAAAGAATAACTCATGACTGTTTTTTTAATAACTCAAGAACGGAAGCACTTAGCGACCTGCGGTTTTCACCATTAGAAAGAGCGAAGCGTGGGGACGTAGGTCTATATAAAACATGATGAGTCTACTGGTAAAAATATGCGTTACTTACGGCTTTAAATTTTAGTCAAAACTGCAGTAAAATATACCTTGTCTTGAACATTAACCTCGGAAGACAACTGATGCAAATGTCAGGTATACGTTGAACCATACCTCTGCTTTATTCGAACTTAGCAAGATAAAATCTTGAAGTTGTTCTGTTGAAAAAGAAGACCTTCAGCGATAGAAAAAAAGTTGGAGGTTCCGAAAAAAATGTTGATTATTTGATGGCTTTTGGGAAATTTACTCAGAAATTCCTGATATGTGTTTTGTATAATAGAATAATTGTTACATAGATCTACGTCCCGCGGTTCTCTCTTTCTGATGGTGAAAACCGCAGGTCGCTAAGTGCTTCCGTTCTTGAGTTATTAAAAAAACAGTCATGAGTTATTCTTTTTTTGAATGGACAATAAGGTGGTTAAAAATCAGTCAAATAGTCTACACTATAAAGTAATGTCAAGACCCGAACGGCTTGATACATCATCTTTGTACTTGATCTATATCCACTAAAGGTGAACACGCAACAGGACTATCCTGCCGCTCGCAGAGAATGTTGCCAGTTTTGGTGGTGTTTTTATAATCTGAGAAAACTGTTTCGGTTTTAATCATTTTAGAATATTGTTGTTATTCCGATCAAATTGAATACAAAACTAGGAAAGAAGATTCAATTGTATTTCCATTTCAATGGCTGATAAACTGACAGACGAACAAATTGCAGAAGTCCAAGAAGCGTTTTCATTATTCGATAAAGATGGAGATGGAGTAATTACAACAAAGAAGGTAAAAGTGAGGTTTGAGCCTTCGTCTTTCTGCGCGGAAGTTTCAGACAGTACTACAGAGAATGAATATTTTTTGAAAAAAACTGGAATCCACTGCTAACTTACCGCTCATTTGACTTTGTTTGGTACATTGGACTTCTTATAAGACTGTGCGATATTTCTTGCTCCTCTCCTGCAGCTTGACTATTAAAGTTCTCAGTGACTTCTATTCTATGGAAGTTTTACATCTAGATCAGTGTGTTTGACTCGTCTCCACTTTTTAGTGGTATTAATTTTATCTTAGTCACGACATACATATGGCAGCTGTGCCTTGCATTGGCGTCGAACTACAACCAAGGGAGGTTCAAAAAATTTTCAATCGTCTCTGTTATGAATTTGCCAGTAGCTATCGATGTACACGTATACTTCTTAGTAGTATTTCAATAAACAATTGGAAATATAGAAAGCTTCATTAAGGCATGTGTGTGTTTGTTCTGATCGATTGTACCCAAGCACGAAAAACGTAGCTAGCATCGCGCTAAATATCGCTTTTTTTATCGTTTCAATAGTCCTATACTGGTGGGCGATGCATCGCCTCTTGCATCTGGTGCATCGCTTTTACTCGATGCATAACTGAATTTTTTTTACTCATTTATCTAGATGCTTCTGCTGGAGCATCGCTAGATGCACCAGCGAATGCATCTAGATATTTCTGCTGGGCAGGTTTTGCTTAGGATATATACTAAAACCAACCGTATGTTCTGTTCTACTACGTTGAACCCGATCATCTGTAATCTAAGTAACCAGTTCGTTTGAATTGTCAATGACTGATTTCACCTGTTGGCGAGAAAAAGTGTTAAAAGACGCTCTAAATTCCTTTCCAACAGTTTTATCGAGCTTCAGCTCCGATGGTAAAAACATTGACGAAATTTGGCCGTTCCATGTAACGGCATCAGACGCTGTCACCTAGAACGGCCATCTAGAATTCTGGTGGAAATACAGGAAAGTACTCCTATTCTAACCGTTGTAAAATTTTGTTTCCACATTGCATTGTTTACTTTATTTGAGCACGAAAATAAATTGTAGGCATCTGTGATAAATTATGAATTTTTAGTAAATTTACAAACACACTGGCTAAACTTCTGAACACACTTAGTACAATACATTCATAGTTTACCTGTGAAATCTACTGTTCACATTCTTCATAAATTATTTGCCCAATGTGTCCAAAATTCATCCTGATTAGTATTTATTTTTCTTGTTACTTTATAAGGAAAATAATTTTTGTTCCTTGTCGTACGCTAACTTACGACACCCGTTAAATTGCCGAAAAGAAGAAAGCATCTAAGAAGATTAGGTTAAGTGGAAATCGAAGTTCAAATTTTACACATCACGGCGAAAGAACAATCAGTAAGAGGAAACAAAATCTAATGTTATTTTGTAACCATTATCTTAGCAAATTCTTCATAAGTCAATTGTCCGTCTCCATCAAGATCTGCTTCTGTAATCATTTGATTAATTTCTTTGTCAGTCAAGTTTTGTCCCAGATTTTTCATTACACGACGTAACTCGACTGCTGATATATATCCATTTCCATCTTCGTCAAATACACGATATGCTTCATGAATGGCGTCGTCACTAATATTCTCTTTCATTGTTAATGTCATCTTAGTTAAAAATTCTTGAAACTCAATTGTTCCATTTGCATTGGTATCCACTTCCTTCATCATTTCGTTTACGTCTGCTTCTGTTGGATTGTGACCTAAATTTTTCATGAATACTGTTAATTCTTTTGTTGTAATTACTCCATCTCCATCTTTATCGAATAATGAAAACGCTTCTTGGACTTCTGCAATTTGTTCGTCTGTCAGTTTATCAGCCATTGAAATGGAAATACAATTGAATCTTCTTTCCTAGTTTTGTATTCAATTTGATCGGAATAACAACAATATTCTAAAATGATTAAAACCGAAACAGTTTTCTCAGATTATAAAAACACCACCAAAACTGGCAACATTCTCTGCGAGCGGCAGGATAGTCCTGTTGCGTGTTCACCTTTAGTGGATATAGATCAAGTACAAAGATGATGTATCAAGCCGTTCGGGTCTTGACATACCATTTCTCTTGTCAAATATTTTCGCTAAAGCTTCTCTCAGTCGTTCTATGACTCATTTGTTTCTAAATTCTTACTATATAAACTTTGCTGCCGTGATGCCTATAAAAGAATCACTGTTCTCAAGATTCTGAACAAAAACAACACTATTTGAAAATTTGTTAAAATGACTGTAATTAACATGTTCTGACCAAGTTCCTACCAAATTCTATCCAAACATTTACGATGCTACGTAATCCTGTACGATACTACCGTAGCATTATATACGATCTGGTCGAAGTTTGCTAGATCCTGTTTTAGAATACTATAAAAATTCTACCCTAGGCATCCTCCACGTTTTAGACATTAGAATTGCTTACGTAATTTCAGCGAGATTTTTATAAGAATCTCAGATGTTACAGGATCCGACAGTAGAGCCCTTGTATTTACCAGTTTGGGTACGAGTGTCCTATCGTAGGTAAAAGTATTTTCATGTTTAATTCGTTCACTATGCTATTCATTCGAATCGTGAGGAACTGAAAGATCTTTTCTTTGTAGTTGTGTTTTAAAAGAATAAAATCTGTGTTATTGTATTGTGCATTATATTTTTTCTAAAAGTACGAAACATTTCTAAAATAAAACTACGTACCAGTATAGTAAAGAATATATTCTATAGAATGGGGTTGTTTATAACAGATGTCGAAATCACTGTTATCAATTGTGGTTGCTACTGAATCGTTAATGAAAAAATAAAAGACTCAAATTTTCCTCTGGTAGAGAAATAATTCATTAACTCAAAAGAAAATTGGAACTTTCGAACCATATAAACGAAGACTGGGTATTTTTCAGGATATTTTTACCTATTCAAAAAGGACTAGAAAACGTTTAATTGTTAAACACCTCTTCAGTGAAAGGGTTTCTTTAATTTTTCTTTATTCTTTCAGAGTTGGCTTTTCAAATCTTGAACATACTTAAAACTATGACTAAGTCTAAGATATACGAAGCAATAAAATATTAAAATATGGAGAACGAAATTATTGTAAATCTTAATCAACTAATAGATTAAAATATATTCGGGAAAATTGTCAAGGTTTATTTCAAAACAATACTGAATGAAGAAAATACTAATAGAATTTTGAGCGCTAATTGAAATGAGCA